ATCGCTTTTTTCCACTTTATTTGTATAAACTCTGTTGAGAAATTTACTCTTTATTTCTGTAAGACTTTTTTTTTCAATTAATTATTTTTCTTATCCAAATGGCTATGGCAAGTTTATAGCTTTTGTAGTCAATAAAATGTAAATTTTGACTTAATAATAAGTTACATATACGGTGGCATATATTAATTAATTAGGTTCAAAGTAATTAAGTGAAAAGAGTAAGATGATGAGTTCAAAAATTTGTAAAGATAATCTTAATATGAAAAGGTCTTACCAACCATTATCCAAAGATCACAATGGCTAAGGAACTCACAATAGTTTTTTCTTCTATTGAAATTCGAAATGATATATATATATATATATATATATATATATATATATTTTGTTAGTTTCCATGGTATCACTACTAAAAGAAAGATTTTAACTTACGTATTTTGATATCGATTTAGTTGTAACCGAAGCAAAAAATGGTGCGATGCCATTTTAATAATTATCGAAATTGTATATGTTTCGGTTAAAAAAGAATCGATGCCTAAAACTGGTGTGGTGACATTTTTTTAATTACCACAAATGTATATGCCTCAGTTCAAAAAGAACTTATGCCTAAAACTGACGCAGTGACATTTTTGTAATTATCGCAAATGTCTATTACCTCGATTGTTTAAAGAACCGAAGCATAAAATAGTTGAATATTTTTTCAGAGGGTTTAGGCATCAGTTCTTTATAGAACCGAGGCGGTAGCCCTAATCAGATTTCACTAAGAAAACCATGCTTTAAGGTCGCACAATGGGAAACTCTTCGCCATTCTCTTCTTTGTTCCAGTTAACGAGCAATCAACTTCTCCTCCTTTTCTTCTCGCGGACCACCCAATCTTGGGGGCGAGAACGTTCTGCGTCTCGAGCAGAGACAATGGCCTCAAGTCGGCGATAATAACAACACTGCGGAAGCGTGACTCAGGCGTGTTCTCGCCTTTGATGGTGGCTCGCAGTAGACTTCCTAGGTCCTTCGTTGCGCGGGTAAACCTTCTCCTTTCCCCCTTTCTCTTTTGGCTTGCGATGTAAGAGGAGGTAGCGCCACTCTCTTCTTCCCCTTTTCCTCTTTTTCTTTCTTCCTAGTTCAAGCGTCGCAAGGAGGGTTTTATTTTTTCGGCATCTCAATGGGCGTTCTCGTGGTGGTGGGATCGCGAAAGCTTTCCTCCTTCGAAGCAAACGCGGGTTCAGTTCTGACTGAGCCTATGTGCGAATGGCGTTGCGGTGGCGAAAGAAGACGACGGCGACGCATCGCGAGTGACCTCCGGTGACGCGTCGCGAGTGACCTCCGGTGACGACGACGAGGGAGAAGGAATGAGTATCCAGCAATGGCAGTGTAAAAAATGACACTGTGATTTGGGGTTTTGGGTCAGCGATTTTAGGGTTTCGATTTTGGTTATGTGAAAACAAAAAAAAAACACCCAAAAAAAAGAAAAACCTCCTCTATTGCCTCGGTTGGATTTGAACCGAGGAAAAAACACATACCTTTTTGCCTCGCCTGTATATGTCTCGGTTACGGAATTACTGCGTATGAGCGAAAATAACCGTTGTCGTTTTCTTTTAGTCTATTACTGTATAGACTAAATAATTAGAAAATATATGTAAAACGAATAAAATGATGGTTTTTAAGTATAAAATAATAAAAGATAACAACTTTATAATTTTAAAGACTTAAAAAATAATTAAAAAAATGTAAAGTGAGAAAAAAATTTGAACTATTTTGAACTGATTCTTGTTCCTTAATGGTATGATGAGAAGAGAATGAGCAGAAAGTTGTGTTGGATAGTAGGGTGGCATATATCATATAAGGGTAAAGCACAACAATAATTGGGTTAGGTGGAGGAAGCTGTTGGGAAGGGACTATCATGTTATGGCCCTCTCCTTTTATCCTTTTTACCATTTTTAGCTTATTCTACAATTACCATAAAGAATAATTTAAAAAAAAATAGAAGTTTCTTTTTATTTGTTGGAGAGAATAATAGTATTTTACTTGTGTTTTCCCTCATAAGAAATCAATAACAAACTTATCAAAACCAATAAAAGCAGTATGATTAGTTAATTTTAAGTACTACTCCAAAATATATATAATTAAAAAGAGTTGACCCATGACAATAACAAATAGTTATATTTAAAGAATAAGGACTTTATGTAATTATATTAATTTTGATCTAGATTATTGAAAAAAATAATTTCAAGTAATGTGTTCACCGTTCTCATGCAAGTAAATTTTTTCTTCACATACAACAAAAATATAATTTTTTTTCTTTAAATAAAAAAATAGATTGATGCATGTCCTTACTTAAACAAGTTTCTAAATAGAACTAATCTAGGTTATGTTTTTTAATATTTTATTAAAAATATTTTGATAATATTTTAGAGATTCTCTCCTAGATTGTGTTTATTTCTTCTTGACTTAAGATAAACCTCTCAATTATTTTGGGTGTCATTCTGTTAATATTATGATTAGTTAATGTAATACAAGAATGGTCTTAATTTCAATGATTTGTGTACCTCCTTTATACTAAAGAAAAATCTTTGCTTAAGGTTTACTTAATGTTTATATCTCTGTCAACTTCCAACTTTTTATATTAAGATATGAGTTATAAATCTTAACATTCCAAAGTATTTATACATAATGTGTCTTCAACTTTGCAAGTGAAAAATTATTATTTTGTATGAATAAGTATGTAAAATATGAAATAAATATGTATTTTTAAATGTTTTAAAAATATTTTTGGAAATCATTATTATTAGTGTAGAAAATATGTTTGAAATAATCTAATAGACTTTGATTATAAGAAAAACAAAGCTTTTCAAAAGGTAATGTAGATTGGTACGAGGCTCGTCTTGTGACGAAGGGTTATATCCAAAAGAAAAAGCATAAAAAAAACTCTTTTAGAACAATGACTTTTGTGGCACGTTGTGATTTAGAGTTTCATCATATGGATGTCAAATATGACGTTTTTTAATGACATCATTAACGAGACAATTTATATAGTAAAACAAAAAGTATAGTTTACAAATTGACAAAATTTATTTATGAGCTAAAAGAAACTTATCTTCATTTGTATGTCTTTGTGAACGTGTTGGACTAATAATGTCCATTGAATGTTTTGTTTGAAACTTTAATATGAGTATTTAATGTTTCTTAATTATTACTCTTTTTTATAGTCCATTTTTATTGTCTATTCTAAAGCAATTTGCACAAAGAGTAAATAGATGTTGTGTATTAACTATTTTAAATGATCTAAATAGATTCACATACAAGAGTAACCTGTCGTACAGTAAATAATGATTTTCATAAGTTATGACTATAATAGTTAAGAGGAAACATGTGGTTAAAAAAAACATACAAAAATTACAATTCAAGCAAAATAATGTAACTATGAACTATATGCATGCATGAGATGAAAACTTTGTGTAAATACAAATGATCTTTTATGATTAAGATAAGAAGTAAATTTGGTGTCTACTAATCAAAGTCTTATATTAAGCTATAATCAAAGTTTTATAATAGAGTCTAAGTAGACAACAATTCAATACTTAAGATGACCTTCTCTTTCTAATTGGAAAAGAGGTAAAAAAAATACAATGCAATGTTATTAATTTTGGATCATACACATAAATATATTACGTGTTAGGATTGTTATTTTATTAGCCATAAATATTAAAGTAATTTAACTAATATAAAAATTATGACTAAAGACATATATATGTCAAAAAAGACTAATTGTGTAGATACTATAAGTAATATTTTTAATTTGATGATGAGTCAAATTAAGTATATTAAAATTATAAATATAACTGATAGAAATTATATAAAAGGTTATGATTCTCGTATTTAGAGACATCGTTTCTTTTCATCTCCATCAACAAATAAACCTATGAAAGAATCTAAGATGTTCTATATTTAGAAAATCACGTACTCATTGCTAATCTCACCACCTTCATCGTTTTTAATGACAAATTGAAGTATCTTTTTGCATTTTATTTTTATCTTGAATTGGAAAATGGTTTACAAAGACTAATATTTGATTGTGCTTTAATTTTGGTTCTATATAAAAGCATATTCTAACATGAAAGTCTTAGTACATAATGTGTATGCCTTTTCCAAATATAAATTGAATAGTGTGTAATTATAAATGATGAACAATTTATAATAATGTAAAAGCTATAATTTATATTTAAAATTCTAACCTATGTAATATTAAAAGAGTAATGGTAAGATGATATATATTTACATTTCTTTAATACATATTACAAAAGTAAAATTATTATAAAAAAATATTTTTTTGTATTTTTAAAAAGAAAAATAGTAAAAATAAAGAAAAATAATATCTAAAAAATGTGAAAAATTTGTGTGAAAATACATCATCATAAAATTTAACATTTGTTTTATAGGGAATGACTCTACAATTTAACAAAAAATTGTTTTTAGTTTTATATAGTGAAAATATTCCTTTATACTTTTAAAATTTATCATCATAAAATTAAACATATTTTGTTTCATAGTCTTTTATTTTAATGAAAAATGTACTTCAATGCAGGTTTATATACTTTACTTAAACAAAATCATTTAATTTTATCAATTGTTTTAGGTATGTAAAAAATAAGTAACTCTTTGGAAATTGAAATGATACCAAACTCCGCTCTCTTTTATACAAGAAGCTACACTCTGTTTCAAAACATATCATTTGATATCAATTATAATAAAATAATATGTTCAAAGTAACAAAAGAACTCTTATGAAGCATCTTATATTCTTCGTATTAGTGAGTTTTTCTTTTCTGTAAGATTCTTATTATAGAGATTTCACTTGAGAGAAAAAAAAATTAAGAATCACACTGCACCATATGAACGATTTAATTACGTAATTAAGACCATCCCAATAGATAAACTATTTAATGAAGTACCATAAAGATAAGGAATAATAACAAAAATAGGAAGTGAATTGACAAGAAAGGACAAGAATGAAATCAAACTCAAACCGTAGATATTGGAGCGAAATTAACATCCAAGATAGCATTACAAATTAAAGGCATCGCTACTTTATTTCACACGTTAAACTGGTTCCAATCCCAAAGGAACAAAGGCTATACTCGTAATTTCAACAGTGAAAAATAGAAATGAAGATAATACGTTCGCCAAAAAAGAAAATAAAAAGGTTCCCAATGAAATATATTTTCTTTATTTTTTCTTTTAAATTTGAACCCATTTTTCTTCGGGTTTGGGTGGCTCAAGCTATGACTTACCGTTCCGGTTACCGTCACTGCTCATCCCTTCGGTGACAGACGCGAGCTTCTGCAGGTTGAGCTTCACGACGGTGTCAGCAAAGAGACGCGTGTCCTCCTCGGTGTTCCCCTCTGGCACATCCACCACGTAAGATTCCAGAACAACGGTCCAGATCTTGCCATCGCGCTCGAAGCCGTGCACGGAGGTCACGGAGTGGTAGTTCCTGAGGCGGTGCTCGCCGCCAACGATGGTGAAACCGATGACGTGCCGTTCGTCGTCGAGGAGGTCGAGGCGCTCGGTGCTGGTGGCTGCCGGTAACCCGGAGATGACGTTGACGTCGCGAGTGGAGCCCACGACGAGCTGGAAATCCTCCTTGACATGGCAGCTCTTGATGAAGTGCTTGTAGGCCTGGGGGTTGTCAAAGCAGCGGACGACGGACCAGACAGCTTCCGGCGGCGCGTGGATTCGTTGGGCGAGGAGGGAGGAGCATTGGCGGGCGGTCATGGAGTAGGTGTGGTGCTCCATGATAGAGGGTATGAGGTCGGCGAACTCCTCAGGAGTCAATCCGGATGGGGGCTCGAGGTGGTGGCGGGTCGGGTGCGTCTGAGTCGGATCCTGCTCTGCGCTGGAGGTGTTGGTTCGGTCCATGGCGAGCGCAGAGAGGTAGAGAGAGTTGCGAACTGAAAAGGGTAATATTTTGAAAATAAAAAAGGTTTTGTTTTTGAGCAGATGTGGTGTGTAACCGTATCACTGAATATCAATACAAAGGGAATGGTCTGACACCTAATTGAGTATGGTTTTGTCGTTTTATTTTATCTTTTCTCATAAAGAATGCTAAATATTTTGCAATTTCGAGAAATTAAATATGGGAATTTTCTTTATTTGAGCGTCCCTGGACTAACCTCATCCACGTTCAGCCAATTATATAATACGGTCATACATGCTCCATTCATTTTAAAGTATGTGTCGGGTTACAATATAAAGTTCTCAGAAATTTTTAATTTACAAAAAAATCAATTAAATTCACCGCTTCTCCAAGTTTTACTTACTTTAAAAACAAAAATATACACTTCTTGAATAAAATTGACGGTGTGGTAATTGAAAATTTAAATGCTTTTAGTATAATGATAAACTATATCAAGATTCTGAAATGGATAATAATCCTATTTCAAGAACTGGAATCAGTTTTAAATAATAATATTTTGAATTTGTGATGTATCAATATTAAATACAATAGTTTGTAAGAAATCATAAGCTGTTATGAAAAAACATGTAGTAATTCTTAAAATTTGGAATAGATGGTAATGGTTGTGTATAAAATTTGGAGTAGGAGTGTGTGATTATTAATTATACATCTCTTTTACTTAATTTATACAAACGATTAATTAATTAATGTAATTATTTTTTTATTGGAAATAAATATTGAATTAAAATAGTTTTAATATTATATAAATATGTATGAGATTTTAAAAAAATATTATCAAATATGTTTGTACTATAAAGGACAAATCGATACCATGAAAGACCGATTGACCATGTCCAGACAATCAAATATAGGAGGTATTATTGATAAGAGGATTGAGACTAAACTCAGGTTAATTAAAGTAAACCAATTATCATAAATCAAGGTTATGTGTTGGATCTACAATTAGTCTCCTTCAAAAGGTAAAGTCCATTTATAAATCTATATAAACATAAGACACATGTATGGTAATTGATTAATATTAACACTATATTTTGTAGGTAATCATCGAATCAGGCACACAGAAGGACATCAAAATCAACTTAGGAGAAGAACAATGTTCTAATACTATCAATAGAATTTGCATTGATAAAGAATGAGTTTGTAAATGATAACTTGAACTTTTTAAATGATAATATTTCATTTTTGAAGGACAAGATTCCACCATGTCCATTTTGGTTATGAGTTTTGGATAAATTTTTTTCTAGTGCAAAGTCTTTTTATATAAGTTAAAAAAAATTATAACGATTTTGGAACTGATATAGAAGTACGGGTATAGAAAATGTTGACTTTTATACTGGTTTCGGAACTAGTATAGAAAGTGTTACTTTTTAGGTAAGTTAAAGGTACAATCAGTATAAAAACAATATCTCTTCAAATTTTTTCTTAATGTTATGGTGGTGGAGGGAGTAACAACCTTGGGTAATAATGCTTGGCTAACGACTTTGCATCAATGCTGAAAATGCAAGAAGTGTTGTATAAGCTGCCAAAATTTTCTAGAATGGAACCACAAACGATGGTGATTTTTAAGAGACGAAAGAGTTCAGAGAGCATGGAGCCTCTAGCCTTCATTGACGGGAAATAACAAACAACATTGTGGAGAACTATGTATTCGATTCTATGAACTTTCGATGTCGGAGAAGTTAAATCGCAAATCAGAGAACGGGAAGGAGCAAGCCTCAAGCGAGAGGGAAAGGCTTGCCGACAATCATGGTTGCAATCATTGCAACAAAAACAATGCTCAAAGGTTTGTGAATGTGTAGATCCATGGTGCAGGGAATGTGAATGGAGCAAGAAGGTGTTCACGAATGCTGAGAGTGTGAATGGAGAAAGAAAGTGCTCGCTCGAGTGCTATTGCTAAGATTTGGAAAGTTTAGGGTTTTAGTGTATCCTAATTTTAAAAAAAACAAAGAAAATCAATTTTAATGTAGAAAATTTTCTTATTTATTACAAAAATATCACCACATCCACTTCAATTACAATCTAGAAAGTTTTTTATTTATTAAAAAATATCATTGTATTCACTTTTTATACCTCTTATAATTAGAACCCCTATAAAAGGTTTTCTTGTTTATTAGAAAAATGAAATCATGTCCACTCTCTATACCAATTGTAATTACAACCAGTATAGAAAATTTTTATCTTTATTACAAAATGTAACTCACTTTCTATTTCTATAATGTTATTACTACAACTAGTATAAAAAATATTATCTTGGTATAAAAAATATTATCTTATTTATAATTATGTTAACACGTCAGTTTTTATACTTAATAGTTTACAATTAATATAAGAGGTTGTTATAAAAGATATATTTTGCACTGTAATCATTCTGCGACAATGGATTATTCTAGGTTCATAATAGTATGGTTTGTAGTAATGCATTGAACATTTATTGTTGTATTAAATGCTAGGTCAAAAATTGTATCTAGAAATGATAATATAATTATATTTTATTTAAGTTTTAAGTATCACTTTGTGAATGTGACTAACATATTTGGTCTTTATTATAAAATAATTGATGTGATTTATAACAATCCTTTTAGTAATTGTCCAGTTACGAATTAAACTTATCACTTTATTGTAATACTAATTGTTGGATCAAAGACTTACTAATAAGCCAAAATTTATAAGTAATTATTAAGACATAACTCTTTATATTTAATAGTATAATAATTCATGTATCATGATTTGATTCTAATTTAATCCAATTTAACCTCTCACATGATAAATGATGCAAATAGCTTACCCTTTATGAACACTAGAGACATATTTTAATGTGTACTAAAGATTATATGAACATGCATAATTATAGTGAATACATTTACAAACAATAACGTCATTTAAGCATGTCACGCATGTTTTTCTTTTTTCTTTTCTAATTTAATACAATCACACTACATTTTATCCATGTGAATTTCTACTTTTCTTAATAGAAATTGTGTATTTGTTGATCTTGAAGAAAACATCTAAAAGACTTAAGGAAGGAAGAAGATGTTGATATTGAAGATTCAAGTTATAGAATCTTGCTTTCTATTATATTTGTGTCTTCCACACAATGTATTCATTATGACTTTCTATTTCAGTACAAACCCTATATTAAAAAGAGAAAACATTCTTCTAATGTTAAAATCAAGATTAAAATATATTTCAGCGTTTTTAATCAATTAAATTTTTCTTGAAAGGTTTTCATATAAGAATAATCCACTATCTAGTAAGATAATTGGTTTTTTTCTAAAAGGGCTTTAAGTGTTTTTTCACTGTATCAGAGTATTAATATCTTATTTAATCAATTAAATATGTTTTATGCAATTAATGAGGAGTATGTCCAATTAATTAAAATGTGTAAGAATTTATTATTACAAAGAAATGTTACAATTGTTTTCCAAAATTGTTAGAATAATCAATGAAGAGCATCATTTAACTGATTAAATGCATCGAAAAATGTTTTAAATAAGTGGTTTAAAAACTCTATAATATTGTTTTTGAAATTCTTTAGCAATCAGGATGCAAGTCTCGTCATAACTTTTTAGTAATGAAAATGTGGCCTTCGGTAACAGAGATGCACAAGCTGTGTATGAAAGTGCGACGACTAAATTTGTTTAAGAGGTGGCCAACTTGGTCAAATAGAGAGGAAAGATAACTTTGATATTTACATTAAAATTTAAATAATTTTTAAATTAAAAATATTTAGATCATTTACTTTAAGTTATGGGTGGATGAACAGAATACGGTGTATGAAGAAATAATATTAACTTTTTGAGTTTGCCTAACATCACATTTATTTAATCTCTGACTAATAAACCTCTTAAAAACATCTATCATTAACAAATAAATTGATCCTTTAACCTTTTGAAATTTAAGAGCATAGACACATATTATAAAATTTAATAATATATATAGTTTTAACTATTACAAAATAGAAAAATTAACTGAATTTGTTAGAAAAGAATATTTAAAATTTAAATATTATAAATTTATTTTTATCAATTTAACAATCAATTCAATTTCTAATAACGACGTTAACACTTAAAACTCTAATGATTTATTCAAATCGGTTATATTATAAGCTTAAAATTAGTTATTCTTGTTTAAAAATGTCTAACATTTATGTTAATAATTTATTTATTGAATAAAATATTTATAATCATTAATTTTATGCTGTAATACAATCGTTTCTCCTGTCATATTTTAATTTTATCAACACACGATTTTCTTACCATATTGTTTATTTTTAATTAAATTTTTAAATTTTGCAACTATTTACAAATATCATAAATTATATTCCTACCTATTCGAAAGATTGTTCGATTATTTACAACTATTTTAATTTTACAACACATATATTAATACTGAGTGGATTGTTAGGATGATTTTAGGATTAATTTTTGGAATGATTTCGGTGTAATGGAAAATGCATTTTTTTTTCTTTGCTAATGTTCCTTATGTTGTCTCATTACATTGTCTCCCTTTTTAAGTTTATACTAATTTTATTTGCATTTTGTCTCCTTTTTTAAGTGAGATTTCTCCCAAACGACTTCTTTGGAAGATATTTCTAATTGGATTTTTATTAAATATGGAATTCTCATATAAAAGGCCGTTAGAAATATTTTCTTTATTGATGTTACTTTAAAAGATTGGAGGAGCTAAAATAATATGCTTTCATTCCTTCCTAAAATCAAAACTGTTTGTTTTATGAAAACTTATGTGTATAAAGCATCCATGAGGTATAGAACAGAGGGTTGAATTTATGTTACATGTGTTTTCTTTGTAAGGATGAAGAGAAGTCCAATCAACACCTTTTTCTTTCAATATCAAATTGTTTTATATATTTGGTCATTGTTGCAAGGAATTTTGTAGATTTGCAATGGTTGTCTACAACTTATTTAATTATTTATAAATAAGAGTTAATGGAATGTTTTTCTTAAACTCATCTCACTCTCCGTTATAACGTATGCTATTTGAAAGGGTGAAAAATTATGAGATATTTCAACAAAGTGTTTCATTGCAAATTACGAT